GTGCTGGGCCTGCAGCGAGTCGTACTGTGGGGCTGACGCAAGGTCGTGTCGATGCTCGTGATGGCGCGCAAGCCGAGCGGCGCGTAGGGACCTACGCAGTCGATCGCGACTTCGTACCATGGTTGCGTGATGCCGTCCTTGGCCGGCAGCTTCTTCGTCGGGCGCATGTTCTTGCACGCCGTGCACTCGTCTGTCCACGCCTTGAAGCCAGCGCTCATCTTGCGCCACCAGCACACCGCGCGGATGGACTGGTCGATGACCGTGGCGCCCGGGTGTAGGAGCCATTCGTGGTACGTGTCGAAGAACGCGCGCTTGAGCGACGGTGGCACGTAGATGCGGCCCTTGTGGACGAGTACTGTAGCGTCGTACCCTCGAGCTCGACTGGTTCGACCTTGTCCTTGAGCTCCAACTTGTCGTCTTTTGGTGCTGAGCGATGGCCGGCAGGCTCAGGTTGAAGAGGTTGTCGGCGCCGTACGTCAACGCGCATCGCGTGGCTGCTGCGTGCTTGTCATCGTCCTTGTCGAGGCGCGATAGCGCGTCCACCATGACGTTGTCCGGGCCTGGGATGTACTACGCAATCTTGGGCCCGTACTCTTCGACGTGCCAGCGTAACATCTGCGCGCTCGCCATGGCCGAGTAGAGCAAGTTCTTGTGGTCCGTGTGGATCTCGAAACGCTGGCCAAGGAGGATGCCACGGAGCTCGCGGAGGATCTCCACGATCGCTAAAAGCTCGAGCTTGTTAGCCGGGTAGTTGCACTGGCGTCGTCGTCTTGGACTAGCGCAATCGGGCGCTTGTCCTGCGAGATGACGCCGCCCATGTGGAGGCGTCCGTGTGGACCACAATCGGCTTGGTCCGGGTGCGCGAGCATCGTGGCCTCCATCTTCTTCAGCGCGTTCAACTCGCGCTCGTGGTCGTTTGTCCAATTGAAGTCGACCTTGGGTGACGTCTCGCCATGTGGTGCGCGCGGCCCGGCCAGAGGTCCCGGTAAATGTAGTACAATGTAGTTGATCACGCCGATGAAGCGCTTGAGCTGACGGCGGCGTGGCGATCGCCAAGATCGCACCGACCTTCTTCGTCATGGGCTTGACACCGTCGTCCGCGAGGTACTCGACCGTCGACACAAAGAACTTGGTCTTACGAGGGTGCGCCACGAGGATGTACTGCGAGAGCACAATGCCAATGTGCTGGATGTGCTCGGCGGCTGTCTCGCTGACCACCATGATGTCGTCCAAGTAGACGAGTACAAACTCGAGGTCGCCAAAAACGAGCATCATGCAGGCTTGGAACTCATCGGTGCTGGTGACCAAGCCCATCGGGAGCCGGCCGGAGACGTGCATGTACTTGCCCCACGGGAGGACAATCGTCGTGCACTGGCGGTTGAGGAGTGCCGAGCGTAGAAGCTCATGACGAGATCGAGTACGCTGCGGTGGGCCTTCTTGGACATGCGGCGCATTGTCTCGGGCATCTTGGGCAACGGGTAATAGGACCGTTCGATGAGCGCGTTGGCCTTGCGGTGGTCGGTGATGAGCCGAATCGTGCCGTCTTTCTTGGGGATAAGAAAGCACGGCGAGCCCCAGCGCGACGACTTGACCTGGACGAGCACACCGAGCCGCGTGAGCCGGTCCACTTCGAGCTTGGTCGAGTCCTAGTACACCTGCGGGATTGAGTACGGCTTCGAGCACACTGGCACGGCTCCTTCCTTGAGCGGGATGACGTACGGCGGGAGCTGGAGGTTGCCAATCTGGCCGTTGAAAACGTATTGGTACTTGTCCAGCAGTGCGAGGACCTCCAGGCGCTCGTCGGCCGTGAGGAGGGTGCCCTCGATCGTCTGTTTCTTGGGCAGACGCTCGTAGTCGGCGTCGAGGATGCGGTGCATGCGTCCGTCAAGGTCCTTGATCTCGCCGCAAACGGTGCGCACGTCTCGCGGCTGCTTGGGTCGCTTGGCGGCGCCATGGTCGTGGGCGTCGGGCTTGGGTGATGTCTTCTTTCTGCCATCGAAGCGACCGAGAGGACTTGCCAGCCTTCTTTGTGAGCCTGACGTCGTCATAGAACATCGCCGAGCGGAACTCGTCCATCATCTTGGCCATGTCATCCAGTTGTTCGCGCGGCTCTCGTCGTGCACCTCGCGCAGGAGCGCATGTTCTCGCGGCGGCTCTTCTTCTCGCGGTAGTTCTTGCTGCGCTCGGCCTTCCTGTAACCGCCGCCGTTCTTCGGGCAGCTGCACGGAGCCGACGAGTAGTTCTCGTACGTGTCGTTGTTGTTCTTGCAGAAGGCGCACGTCGGCTTGCTGCTGCCTTGGGGTGCGCATCTTCTTCTTCGACGACGGGAGCGCGTCTTGGTCCTCCAATGCGCGTCGAGCTTGCTGTCCGGATGGCTTCCGGATGTTGGCCTCCGTCTTGTCTCCATTTGGACAACGATCTGCTCGACTTGCCCGCGCGTCTCGTTGACGCCGTACAGGCGCTGAAACTCGACTTGCGAGTCGACGGGCATTGCGGCTTCGAACCAGGCGATGCGCTCCGAGTGCGGCACCGCGTTGTTACCCGGGGCCGGAAAGTACTGGAGCATGCGGTGTTCGCGTCGAGGGAAGACCTCGACGGACTGCGACCTATTTTTCTTGGCAGCCGTTCGACGTGCACTGAGCGGGTGGGAGCTTCGGGTGCCGCGAGTCCTTGCGTCACCTTGTCCGCGTGCCGGCGAGCGTGGTCCATGAAGAAGGCACGGTCGTCGCCACGGAAGACCATCGTGAGGCCCTCGCACAGCATGTCCTGCCGGTCTTGATGGTTGTACTGACGCCACTCGATGAACTCGTTGATCGTGACGAGAAACTCGAGGTAGGTCGCTCGGCGCTGCACGCAGACGGGATGCCAAGTCGAGCTCCAAGAAGCATGGAGGCCCGCGAAACGAGGTGCAGACGCTCCAGAGCATCAAGTCGCTAAAGCTGCAACGCCCTTCGCCGCACTACGCACAGGAGCGGTGCGAGCCTGGGCCTGGCCTTCCCGACGCCCAGCGCCGTCGACGGCCACACGCCAACGAGATGTGCTCGACGGGATGATCCTGGATGGCGGAAACTCGAGCTTGGTTGATAATTAGTTGATAAATCCAGGGTATCCGGTGAATAGCCCAACACGCGCCACCGACACTAATACCATTGCACTCGTTGTAGCCACATATATAGTAACATGAAATCGGACTTGACATCGTGGGTGGCTTCTTGGTCAGACCTTGCACACGCTCTCGGGACAAAGGCTGGCAACGGGTTGGAGACTTAGGAATCGATCGTGGAAACGAGCTATGAGTCGGTGTACCACGACAGCGTGCAGCTCACGAGAGACGTCATGTGGCGGTCGACAACTTCCTTCGCGTCCGTCTTGGCGCTCTCTGGCCGTACGCAAAGCACTGTAGAGCCGCGGTCGAGGACGTGCAACGTTGTCGGTTCTCTAAAGGGTGACGGCGTCGCATCGTCGGTTGGCATATCAACGTCGTGCAAGTCTGGTACTTGCGTGCATTCATGCGTAGTAGCAGCAATGTCTTTGAGTTAGCTTTACCCAATTTGATTTGAACGCGAAATATGTTTGATTGATTGAATGTTATGGGGACTACATCTAAAGCCGGGCACGCGGGCCGGGCTGGCGATGTAGCTAAAGGGTTGGCGCCCTAAAATACAATATGAAAATGAATACAAGAGGAGAATATGCATACCGTTGGTGGCGCCTTCCACGGACGACCTCGATCGCTACGTTGGACACGAGGATCGCCATCCGGATCTTCTCGAGCTCGGACGCTCCGAGGAAGCTCGCCTTGGCGGACAGTGTGTTCTGTCCCGTCTTGACGACCGCGGCGACGTGGTCGTTGAAGCCGTCAAACTCGAGCACGACGCTTGCAAAGTGAGGCCCTTGGGATGCCTTGGACGACCTCGCTGCCAGAAGAAGAGCGCGATGCAGCGCGATCCAAGCGACCAAGCCTGGTTGATGCGCAGCGCTCTTGGCGACGGCGGCCGCGAGATCCGCGTCGCCCGCGAGCGCGAGCAGCAAGACATAAAGCGCGTGGGCGATCGAGCTCGGCGCCGCCGCTAGCCCAGCCTCGGCCTTGACCATGGCCGCCGTCTTGCTGTCCAGATCGGGTTGTGGCACGACCCGTGTCGCGGTGGTCTACCGCGGGACGCGCTGCCATGGTCACGACCGCGCGTCGTCGTCGTTCTTGAGGTGCTCTGCACCGTCGTCCTGCGCCGCCATGCTGCTAGCGAGCGGCCATCGCGGCGCCTGCCGAGTTGCTGATGTAGTACGCCGTTTGGTCCAAGCGAGCAAAGCAAATTTGACGTCGACGCAGATGAAGGGTGATTTGATTTGAATTAAAAAACCACCCGCGTGTCAATTAAAAGAATATGTCAATGAATAAGGATCAAGTATACGCAGTGTTCATTGTATTGGGGTGCAAAGTCGCCAAATTGCATTTGAATTGCGTCCGACTTGCAATAAAATCCCCTCGACCTCGAGATATTAGACGTTTTGTATGCAGTCAACGCCATCGGGTCGACCAATGACGTGGCGCGTTTCGAAGTGAAAGTGAATGATGGTCTTAGGGCTCGGGCACAGCCTGTGCTCGTCGCTTCGATGGCTGTGCATGGTATACACAAGCCAGGCACTCTTTCCTTCTCAGCCAAGAAAGCTCGCAATACTAGTAGCATTGATGGACTTTGAACGAGCAATATCATCGCAAGGACGCTTGGCTAAACGCACACCTGTCGGCGCGGGTAGGGTTACGAGACAGAGAACACCACTGGGCTGGCTGCAGCAGCACCCAGACGGTGACGCCTGGCTTGCTCAACGCCCGTCTTCTGTACCTCCAAGCCGCGGCTGCCTGTCGCATGATGATGACCAAGCAGACCACCACCAAGGGTCGTTGCAGTCTCGTCGTCCCGGTGGCCAATGGACGCTCAGTGCCAATGCGATGAATGCGCATCCACATCCAACTACGTCCTGGGCACCGCTATCGAGTTGCAATGCGATGCAAACGATCCTTTATGGCACATTCGATAGCTGCAACTCCCTTCCATTCGTGTCGGGCTTGGCGCAGTCGCACTTGTGACTGGCACTATGCACGTTTGGCTCGACCCACGCAGCGCAACTTGACGCTATCAGTGCGGGTAGGAGTACGAAGGAGAGAACACCACCGCCCTCGTTTGCATTGGCTGTACACATGCGGGCACTTCATCTGCTCTGGTGCTACATTTATTCCCTCTTCAACTCCTCAATCGCACATGTAATCTCGTGCATTTGCAGCACTGGCGTCCATGGTTCGATTCATCTCAGCCGATGTGATTGCACTTACATGCGGGGTGACCCAATACATGTACTAGTATGTACACCCACCGACCAAGAAACGCGTCATTGCGAATATCATATCGCTTGGATAGTTGAAGCTGGTCGGCGAGGAGCTTCGAGAAGTTACATTCGGAAGACCACTGGAAGGAACGAGGCAGCGAATCCACGGGATGTGGTGACTGCAATAGCTGTCGGCGTTAAAGGGCAAGACTCTTGCACTTTGAGCTTTGCATCCAAAGTGACATTGGCGCATCGACGCAGGCTCGGTCGATCATACCGGGCCGGATGAGTACGGTTTCTCGCCACGTCATCGGATGACGTGGTAAACGGATCTGTCGTCACATACAGCTGGTCTACTTCAGCTTCGAATCTCCGCAACCGTAACAACTTGTCTTGCTCCAGCGTGAAATGCTAGACGCCCGAGCCTGTTGCTAGAAGTTGCTGGGCCATTCACAGTTTCGTGATGTGTAAACCCACGCCCCCTATCCGATATTCTCTCTCAGGCGTCAAAGACTTTTGACCGGTAACAATAGGCACGTTTGGCTGGACGCATCGCCACTTCAACTTGTCGCCGCGAGGCGCATCACAAGACAGAGAACGCCACCGGCGCCACTGCGCCGTTGCAGCGACCCGTCGGTGACGTCTGGTGTACCAAAGTCAATCCCACGTACTAGCACCTCCAAACCTCGGTGGTCGAGATGTGCGGCACCGACCCCGTAGTCCAACAAAGTCGGTCGTAGCATGCTTACCAAAGACGGCGCCGTCGACGTCCATGTGCTTAAGGCGGTCGATCATGTGCGCGCTAGTTCGTCATGCATCATAATGAAGCCTGTTCATGCGTAGTAGAATACCCTTTGTAGTACACGATTGGGCTCGAGACGCAGAGAGAAAGTCACCGTTGATCGTCGGCAGCAGCGTCGACGTCGCCGCTTGCTCGCGCTGCAGCAAGGTCGCCAGCTCCATCATGCCTGCGCTGCCTGGTTAGCGCCATGGATATCTTCGTCGTGGCCTATGCCATGTGCGTCAGGCGCGACGTCGTTCCCCGTCAAGATGGTCAGCGCTGCCATCCCATGCGTTTAGTCGTTCGTATCGACCAAGGGTACATCAATTGAATTTATGTACCCTTGGTATCGACTAAGGCTCGACTGGAGGTGGCATGGTATCTTTGGCACATGCCGCAAAGACCCACAGTTATGCCGAATCCTGTAAAACGGTTTCGGAGCTTTTTCTCCGTTCCCAGTTGGCGCGCGCCAGTTTTGGTTTGGCCGCGGATGAGAGAAGACGAGCATGCC